CTAAACAAGACAAAGGAGCAGAGAAAATTCGCAGCACAGGCGTCTTTGCGCCAAATTTCATGAAAAATGAGTTTATTCTATAGTTAGGGTGAAGTGTAGGTTTAGCTTTAGCTTTGGCGTTTGGGTAAGTTAGGTTTATGCTTAGGCTTAAGGTTAGGATCAATGTGAACTATTGAATTAGCGTACCTGTCTCAAGAGCTGGATATCTTATAAGAGGCCATTTGGTTTGCGACTACTAATTACACCAAATTCTAGGCATCCTGTGGACTCTCCGAAGTCTTTGGAAAATCTATAACTAGGCGCATGCCTGGCGTCGCGTTTTATAGCCACGGTACCTTGTTAAGCATCTCGCGCTGAGTGAGGAGCTTCCAGGTATGCGAGTTAGATCTGTAGCAGAGAACCACCGCTAGCAGTGTTATTCATGGCCAGAGCGAGCCGTAACTTCCGTGTCCTGAAGACTATGCATCCATCTGAACAGAATAATAAATCAATAAATCAATTGATCTGGTGCTCGACACGCCTTCTTCCTCGTCCATACTATGCATCCAGTCTCCATGACAGGGGGTGCCGCCTTGGCCTTCGCTTCATGCCGAACGAAAGCGTTCTTCGAGAGAATTTCGCAGGACTCAGGACACATTTTATTGCTGCTACAAGTAAAGTGCACACATTGGAGAGTTTTCGAAAGGAAAAAGTGCGCACTCATTTAAAATCGAATTTTAACACGGCGAAAGGTCCTGCAAAGTGGGTAAGGGAAATTAAATCTTCGTCAATCACAAAAACAGTAAAATAAACGCCGAATAAAATGCATCTGATTAGGAGGCTTCGTCGTGGAAGGCAGCCATTTCGTTGACGTACTTACTTGCTTGACATTTTTACCTTTTTTAGGTAAGGATAACTTATATAACCCCCTTAACAGGACAAAGGAGTAGGAAACATCCGCAATACAGGCGGCTCAGGGAAAATGAGTTTATCCTATAGTTAGGGTTAAGTATGGGATTAGTTTTAACTTTGGCGTTTAGATAAGTTAGCTTTATTTCATATAAACTGGAAGGTAGGCATCCCATCCCTTTG